TTAAAATAAAATAAAAAAAAGAATTAAAAAGGGGTAACTCTTTGGCTTCTGGCTGAAAAATAGTACGTCAAAGCCCCTACAAAATTCGAAGTATTATATGTGGTTTGAAAGAAAAAAGAAAAAAGAATTAAAAAGGGGTTACTTTTTGGCTTCTGGCTAACAAATAATACGTCGAAGCCCCTACAGAAATCGATATATTATTTGTTGTTTAAAAGAAAAAAGAAAAAAGAATTAAAAAGGGGTAACTCTTTGGCTTCTGGCTGAAAAATAATATGTCGAAGCCCCTTCAGAATTTGATGTACTATTGGTCGTTTAAAAGAAAAAAGAAGAAAAGAATTAAAAAGGGGTGACTCTTTGGCTTTTGGCTGATAAATATTACGTCGAAGCCCCTATAGAATTCGACGTACTATTGGTGGTTTAAAAGAAAGAAGAAAAAGAATGATGCGCTAGTTTAAATAATTACCATCATAAAACGTCGAATTGTATAGGACTTCGACGTTTTACAATTCTAAACAACATCTAATAATTGTATTTATTTACAAAAATGTTATCAGTCAGTTTTTACGTTGAATATTCAGTGGTTGGAGGTTGAACGTGTGACGTTATATGCTATTTTTGCACTAGTGGTACCAAGCAAAGTTTGCATAATCTCATTATGTTGCACCCCTAGGAAATTCATTGCCTAATGCACACCATTCATACTAGGTAATATCTCTCCCTTGAGGTAATCCACATAACAACTCCCATGAATCCTAGCTAATGATCAATTGACTTTGACAAGGCCCCCCGTCTAGATTATATTCAATCAAATAATAGTTTTGGCTAACTTTCGTCTTAGTACTACTCACCCTACTTATTCATTAGGTTTTGACCAGTCTAGTTCAATCCATGCTCTATACAGTCCATCCTAAATGCATTACATTATCCTAAATGATATAAAGAACAACCTACCTTAAACGATATAGTAAATAGACTATATTAAATAGTCTAATTTCTTAAATACGAGATACAAATAATATTTTTTTGTTTATTACGTAGTTTCTCTTCATCTATACAAATCCTATCAAAGACAAGTGTTATATTTCTATGTTGATTTAGAAAGACAGAAAAAAAAAATTCTAAGAATTTCTTCAATGTTTTTTCTTCAATAAATCCCTGTAGCGACACAGTTTCCCGTGCTTGTGTTTTTTGTTTTTAATAAATCCGTTTATAAATTCAAGTGTTTTCGTTAAAGTAAATGGGAATTGTCTTATTATCATATTATAAATATACTCGCTGAAATAAACAATAATATAAAAATATTACTGAAAAATGTATCTATTAAAATTAATAGATACAAAGGGAAAAATGTGAGTTTCCATAACAAATATAAACTTTAATCATAATAAATTATAATTCAAAACAATATTTTTACTGACAAGTTTGTTGAAAAGTTATTTTAACTTAATTAGTTTCGTTGTAATTAATTAATTTAGATTTTTGGTTAAAGAAGATTCAAAACTAGAAGGAAAAATACCACTAAAAGATAATTAAAAAACACAAGTTTTTAGAATTAAAAAAAATAGTTTACTTCTTTTTAATAGATTTCATATGTGATATGATCCGTGGTATAAAACTTTTTAAGTAGAATTCCTTGTTAATATTTTTTGGAATGCCAAATTTTGAACTATTCCTTCAATCATAACGTGTACCTTTGGCCGCGCAGCTTCTTCCAATGTAAGAACTCTTCAAAACTGCAACTAACTCTACCGTAAGATGGATTGGCTTAGAAGCAGCTTTTCTAGGAGTTCAAGGAATAGCAAAACCCCAAATACCCAAACACAGTCTAACTCCAAACTGCAGGATCAACAACGAGAAGAAAGCGTATATGGGATTACCGAGGAACTCATCAACCACGTCAAGTCCTTCACCGTCGACACATTTAAGAATTTCCCTCTCAAAGGTTTCCCTCCAATGTTCATACCCTAATTGAACAAAAATTGTGTGATTACGGGGCCCATTTTTTTAATTTTCAATTTTCGTAATTTTTCTTGCCTGTTTTACCATTCACCACAGTTGATGTAAATTTCTTTAATTGTCACACTAAGTAATCGTGATTATTGGTTGCTTGGAATTGGCAGCTGTAGCTTCGTATAATTCTCAGGGAAACCCAATGTTGTTGTAGTGTTATTTTTGAGTTATCTATTGTTTTATATTTGAAAAAAAAAAGTCTTCTTTTGTTCAATTTTGTTTTTTGGTTGCAGATGAAGATGAAGGCAGTTATTGGGAAGAAACTTAATCTTCTTCAAGCAAAATTCGAAAGGATCTCTCCGATTGGCAAGAGAGACATGCAATCCTCGTTCTATCAAGAGTCAAGGTTTGTCTTTAACTATTCTTGTTTATTTGTGATGTTGAACACTTGAAGTATTAAACAGTAAAACTACTTGTGCTCGTTTGTAGAAATAGAGGATTTTTCCTTCATTGGTATCCCAAATATTGCAAGGTTGATGACACTCCTTAATCTAATCTATAAAATCATGTATTTTGTATTTGTTTGCTTGCATGACATTGCCTAGTATCCATGCCGTTGATTAGTAGTCTTTTTNAATATGCGTATTCGAATGATGACATTATGTAATTGATTAATATAGAGAGATAGGGAGAAGAAAAATCAAACTCTGAGTTTTATATCCGTTCAACCTTAATGCCTACATCCAGTGTCCTTTCAATCAACCTTAATGCGTAACTCACTAATCTAATATAGCCAAATACAAAAAACCCTGCAGCAAGAACAATCCTCTCCTGCAATCACCCCTTTGAGAACCCTCTCAAAGTACAAGAACTCCTCGTTCTTCTTCTTGGCAACACGCACAGGGAAACAACAACACACAAATTGCGAAACTTCTCCTGATCACACATCAAGCACCTCAGTTGTGCAGAAAGATCAAATTCTTCAAATCAGTCGAGCTTGTCTCTCAAGAAATCTTCAAGAATAGTCCACCACTTCAATTTCTTGTTTCTTGGAGCGTTTGATCACCTCTGTAAAACTTTTCAGCCCAATCTAAATCAGATATGAAAATGTTAATCTCAAATTGTCTTATAGAAATACAATCAATGCGTATATATATAGTTTTAGTCAATTCAAACACAATTCAATCGATTACTCTTTTAATCTAATCGGTTACATTAAATACTTATAACAAATTTATAACCACTTAAGCTCCTTAACTGAATACGCAATTAATGAAATCGATTTTCATTTAATGCTTAGTCAACACATTTAAAAATATGATCGTTGAAACAATTATGACAAGCATGAAAGAGTTTTCAAATCAATAACAGACTTAATTGAATACATAATCCATATAATCGATTAAGCTTCAACACTTATTATTGGTGATTTAAAATAAAATAAAAAAAAGAATTAAAAAGGGGTAACTCTTTGGCTTCTGGCTGAAAAATAGTACGTCAAAGCCCCTACAAAATTCGAAGTATTATATGTGGTTTGAAAGAAAAAAGAAAAAAGAATTAAAAAGGGGTTACTTTTTGGCTTCTGGCTAACAAATAATACGTCGAAGCCCCTACAGAAATCGATATATTATTTGTTGTTTAAAAGAAAAAAGAAAAAAGAATTAAAAAGGGGTAACTCTTTGGCTTCTGGCTGAAAAATAATATGTCGAAGCCCCTTCAGAATTTGATGTACTATTGGTCGTTTAAAAGAAAAAAGAAGAAAAGAATTAAAAAGGGGTGACTCTTTGGCTTTTGGCTGATAAATATTACGTCGAAGCCCCTATAGAATTCGACGTACTATTGGTGGTTTAAAAGAAAGAAGAAAAAGAATGATGCGCTAGTTTAAATAATTACCATCATAAAACGTCGAATTGTATAGGACTTCGACGTTTTACAATTCTAAACAACATCTAATAATTGTATTTATTTACAAAAATGTTATCAGTCAGTTTTTACGTTGAATATTCAGTGGTTGGAGGTTGAACGTGTGACGTTATATGCTATTTTTGCACTAGTGGTACCAAGCAAAGTTTGCATAATCTCATTATGTTGCACCCCTAGGAAATTCATTGCCTAATGCACACCATTCATACTAGGTAATATCTCTCCCTTGAGGTAATCCACATAACAACTCCCATGAATCCTAGCTAATGATCAATTGACTTTGACAAGGCCCCCCGTCTAGATTATATTCAATCAAATAATAGTTTTGGCTAACTTTCGTCTTAGTACTACTCACCCTACTTATTCATTAGGTTTTGACCAGTCTAGTTCAATCCATGCTCTATACAGTCCATCCTAAATGCATTACATTATCCTAAATGATATAAAGAACAACCTACCTTAAACGATATAGTAAATAGACTATATTAAATAGTCTAATTTCTTAAATACGAGATACAAATAATATTTTTTTGTTTATTACGTAGTTTCTCTTCATCTATACAAATCCTATCAAAGACAAGTGTTATATTTCTATGTTGATTTAGAAAGACAGAAAAAAAAAATTCTAAGAATTTCTTCAATGTTTTTTCTTCAATAAATCCCTGTAGCGACACAGTTTCCCGTGCTTGTGTTTTTTGTTTTTAATAAATCCGTTTATAAATTCAAGTGTTTTCGTTAAAGTAAATGGGAATTGTCTTATTATCATATTATAAATATACTCGCTGAAATAAACAATAATATAAAAATATTACTGAAAAATGTATCTATTAAAATTAATAGATACAAAGGGAAAAATGTGAGTTTCCATAACAAATATAAACTTTAATCATAATAAATTATAATTCAAAACAATATTTTTACTGACAAGTTTGTTGAAAAGTTATTTTAACTTAATTAGTTTCGTTGTAAGTAATTAATTTAGATTTTTGGTTAAAGAAGATTCAAAACTAGAAGGAAAAATACCACTAAAAGATAATTAAAAAACACAAGTTTTTAGAATTAAAAAAAATAGTTTACTTCTTTTTAATAGATTTCATATGTGAAATGATCCGTGGTATAAAACTTTTTAAGTAGAATTCCTTGTTAATATTTTTTGGAATGCCAAATTGTGAACTATTCCTTCAATCATAACGTGTACCTTTGGCCGCGCAGCTTCTTCCAATGTAAGAACTCTTCAAAACTGCAACTAACTCTACCGTAAGATGGATTGGCTTAGAAGCAGCTTTTCTAGGAGTTCAAGGAATAGCAAAACCCCAAATACCCAAACACAGTCTAACTCCAAACTGCAGGATCAACAACGAGAAGAAAGCGTATATGGGATTACCGAGGAACTCATCAACCACGTCAAGTCCTTCACCGTCGACACATTTAAGAATTTCCCTCTCAAAGGTTTCCCTCCAATGTTCATACCCTAATTGAACAAAAATTGTGTGATTACGGGGCCCATTTTTTTAATTTTCAATTTTCGTAATTTTTCTTGCCTGTTTTACCATTCACCACAGTTGATGTAAATTTCTTTAATTGTCACACTAAGTAATCGTGATTATTGGTTGCTTGGAATTGGCAGCTGTAGCTTCGTATAATTCTCAGGGAAACCCAATGTTGTTGTAGTGTTATTTTTGAGTTATCTATTGTTTTATATTTGAAAAAAAAAAGTCTTCTTTTGTTCAATTTTGTTTTTTGGTTGCAGATGAAGATGAAGGCAGTTATTGGGAAGAAACTGAATCTTCTTCAAGCAAAATTCGAAAGGATCTCTCCGATTGGCAAGAGAGACATGCAATCCTCGTTCTATCAAGAGTCAAGGTTTGTCTTTAACTATTCTTGTTTATTTGTGATGTTGAACACTTGAAGTATTAAACAGTAAAACTACTTGTGCTCGTTTGTAGAAATAGAGGATTTTTCCTTCATTGGTATCCCAAATATTGCAAGGTTGATGACACTCCTTAATCTAATCTATAAAATCATGTATTTTGTATTTGTTTGCTTGCATGACATTGCCTAGTATCCATGCCGTTGATTAGTAGTCTTTTTTTCTTTTTCTGATGATTGAGTGGCCTATTCGAAGTGTAATCAAGTGGCCCCACTTAAAGGAGCAAAGCTCTGTCTGATCATGTTTCTTCTTTTCACGAAGGGAAACTATATTAGGAATAGACAATGACAACAAAAGTTGTATTCCACTAGATGATGTCTGTGGTGGTGAGTGGTCCATGTTAAGGATTTCAACTAGTTACATTGAAGGTCGAGTTTCTGGAAAAATCCTCGTTTTTCCCTAGCTTGGAACCATCATTTATGAGACCATAGTCTTTGTACAAATAGACTATTTTCCCATGTTGGCTTTAAAATATTATAGAAGTCGTGGATCCTGCCAATCAACTTAAGGCCTTTCGGGCACAAATGTTGATATTAAAAGAATCAGACATGGTGTGATGCAAAATGTTTGTAGAGGTCTTGTCTGATGCCATGTTGGATTGGTTTAGCACTTTGCCCGGCAGGAATGTATCCTTACTCGTGGAATTGTCTAGTTTGTTCTTTAATCAGTTTGATGTGAATAAAGTAAAACCTCTCAAAATAGGAGATTTGTTTGACATCAAGTAGCAAAGTGGTGAGCCTTTAAAGGACTGCATGGCTAGATAAGGAAATATTCATGGATGTGTTTGTAAGGACTCCGAGCAAGCCCATTCAGCAAATCACTTATATAGCGAAAGGTGGAGACTCGTAGCTGAGGTAGTGATGTCCCCCCAAAAGAACAATGAACGGCTTAAGCCTACGACCTCCAAAAAGGCTCCCAGTCGTGTTTCAACTTGATATTGAGGATGCATTTCTCCATGGAGATCTTGAAAGAAGGTCTATATGAAACGACCTCTTGAATTTGTTGCTTAGGGGGAGTTGTCTAATAAGGTCTGTCATATTTGTAGGTTCTTTTATGGGCCTTAAGCAATCACCTTGTGGATTATTTGGTAATATTTTGTTTGTCATTCAACAACTCGGAATAATACAAAGTGAAGCTGATCATTCACTATTTAACTTCAATTCTCTCCAAGCTTACCAGTTTTGGACTGTCAAGCTAAATTATTTCACTGTGACTTGCCCTAACATTCCCTTTGCAATAAGCATAGTAAGTCAAGTTTTGAGTAGTCCTTGTCAAGAGACCATTGAAATGTGGTTGTACAAATACTAAGTTATATTAAGAAATCTCTTGGCAAAGGCTTTAATTATAAAGATAAGGGGAATACTCAAATTATTGGGTATTTTGATTTTGACTAGGTGACTCAACTAGTGATAAATGTTCAACTTCAGGGTACTTCTTGTTTGGGGGATAATTTAATATCTATGAAAAACAAGAAAAAAAAATGTTGTGGCATGATCAAGTGCAAAATATATGGCAATGACTTTAGCCATTTGTGAGCTCATGGCTAAAGGAACCTATCAAAGAGTTTAAATTTGAAGATTCTCAAATGCATCTTGTATTTGACAACGAGGTAGCATTACACATTGCTTCTAATCCTATCTTTCATGAATGAACCAAACATGTTGATGTGGGTTGTCGTTTCATAATGGAAAAACTGGACTCTAGAGATATCATTACTAGATTAGTCAATTCTAATGAACAACTGATTGACATATTCACCAAATCTCTCTGAGAGGGCCAAGGATCCATCACATTTGCAATAAGCTGAGCACATGACTTACACGCACCAACTTGAGGGTGAGTATTATGATTACAAAAATAAGAGTCATATCTTTATAGTTACAAATATCAAGATCATATCTTTATAATAAGAAATATCAAGATTGTATCTATATTATTCTAAGGTCATATTCTTATTATTAGAGGATGTCACATGTTCTTTATTAATTTTATTGATTTAGTTTTCTCAATGTAAATAAACCAGTCATGTTGTCACAGAAAGAGACGTTTTCAGCTTAATGCTTCTCTTTGTCTTTAAGCTTAACAGTTTGTTCTTTTTTCTCATGCTTTCCAATGTGTGGACAACTAACATTGTGGTGCTAAGTAATTTTATTTGGGTAACAACTATCAAGGGAAAAACGTCTCATGACTTTGGCATCTGAAAAAGTTCATGATGTATTAGATAATGGAGGACATAAGAAGCATGGAACTTGAGAAAATCTTAAGAATTTGTCATGCCTATAATGATTTTTTCTTAAGAATACATGACTGTAAATATAACAAGAATGAAGATTTGGAAGAATTAAGCAATCTTGTACTCATAAATTATATGGCGTGTGTTTTGTTTTTTAATGTTCCTATCATTTATTCCTTTTGTGTCTCTATGTGTTAGGTTTCTGTAATCGAAAACCTAATTCCCTTCTCTCGCAAATCACAACAAGAACACAAAGCAGAAGAATGAATGAAACANAGATTATATTCAATCAAATAATAGTTTTGGCTAACTTTCGTCTTAGTACTACTCACCCTACTTATTCATTAGGTTTTGACCAGTCTAGTTCAATCCATGCTCTATACAGTCCATCCTAAATGCATTACATTATCCTAAATGATATAAAGAACAACCTACCTTAAACGATATAGTAAATAGACTATATTAAATAGTCTAATTTCTTAAATACGAGATACAAATAATATTTTTTTGTTTATTACGTAGTTTCTCTTCATCTATACAAATCCTATCAAAGACAAGTGTTATATTTCTATGTTGATTTAGAAAGACAGAAAAAAAAAATTCTAAGAATTTCTTCAATGTTTTTTCTTCAATAAATCCCTGTAGCGACACAGTTTCCCGTGCTTGTGTTTTTTGTTTTTAATAAATCCGTTTATAAATTCAAGTGTTTTCGTTAAAGTAAATGGGAATTGTCTTATTATCATATTATAAATATACTCGCTGAAATAAACAATAATATAAAAATATTACTGAAAAATGTATCTATTAAAATTAATAGATACAAAGGGAAAAATGTGAGTTTCCATAACAAATATAAACTTTAATCATAATAAATTATAATTCAAAACAATATTTTTACTGACAAGTTTGTTGAAAAGTTATTTTAACTTAATTAGTTTCGTTGTAAGTAATTAATTTAGATTTTTGGTTAAAGAAGATTCAAAACTAGAAGGAAAAATACCACTAAAAGATAATTAAAAAACACAAGTTTTTAGAATTAAAAAAAATAGTTTACTTCTTTTTAATAGATTTCATATGTGAAATGATCCGTGGTATAAAACTTTTTAAGTAGAATTCCTTGTTAATATTTTTTGGAATGCCAAATTGTGAACTATTCCTTCAATCATAACGTGTACCTTTGGCCGCGCAGCTTCTTCCAATGTAAGAACTCTTCAAAACTGCAACTAACTCTACCGTAAGATGGATTGGCTTAGAAGCAGCTTTTCTAGGAGTTCAAGGAATAGCAAAACCCCAAATACCCAAACACAGTCTAACTCCAAACTGCAGGATCAACAACGAGAAGAAAGCGTATATGGGATTACCGAGGAACTCATCAACCACGTCAAGTCCTTCACCGTCGACACATTTAAGAATTTCCCTCTCAAAGGTTTCCCTCCAATGTTCATACCCTAATTGAACAAAAATTGTGTGATTACGGGGCCCATTTTTTTAATTTTCAATTTTCGTAATTTTTCTTGCCTGTTTTACCATTCACCACAGTTGATGTAAATTTCTTTAATTGTCACACTAAGTAATCGTGATTATTGGTTGCTTGGAATTGGCAGCTGTAGCTTCGTATAATTCTCAGGGAAACCCAATGTTGTTGTAGTGTTATTTTTGAGTTATCTATTGTTTTATATTTGAAAAAAAAAAGTCTTCTTTTGTTCAATTTTGTTTTTTGGTTGCAGATGAAGATGAAGGCAGTTATTGGGAAGAAACTGAATCTTCTTCAAGCAAAATTCGAAAGGATCTCTCCGATTGGCAAGAGAGACATGCAATCCTCGTTCTATCAAGAGTCAAGGTTTGTCTTTAACTATTCTTGTTTATTTGTGATGTTGAACACTTGAAGTATTAAACAGTAAAACTACTTGTGCTCGTTTGTAGAAATAGAGGATTTTTCCTTCATTGGTATCCCAAATATTGCAAGGTTGATGACACTCCTTAATCTAATCTATAAAATCATGTATTTTGTATTTGTTTGCTTGCATGACATTGCCTAGTATCCATGCCGTTGATTAGTAGTCTTTTTTTCTTTTTCTGATGATTGAGTGGCCTATTCGAAGTGTAATCAAGTGGCCCCACTTAAAGGAGCAAAGCTCTGTCTGATCATGTTTCTTCTTTTCACGAAGGGAAACTATATTAGGAATAGACAATGACAACAAAAGTTGTATTCCACTAGATGATGTCTGTGGTGGTGAGTGGTCCATGTTAAGGATTTCAACTAGTTACATTGAAGGTCGAGTTTCTGGAAAAATCCTCGTTTTTCCCTAGCTTGGAACCATCATTTATGAGACCATAGTCTTTGTACAAATAGACTATTTTCCCATGTTGGCTTTAAAATATTATAGAAGTCGTGGATCCTGCCAATCAACTTAAGGCCTTTCGGGCACAAATGTTGATATTAAAAGAATCAGACATGGTGTGATGCAAAATGTTTGTAGAGGTCTTGTCTGATGCCATGTTGGATTGGTTTAGCACTTTGCCCGGCAGGAATGTATCCTTACTCGTGGAATTGTCTAGTTTGTTCTTTAATCAGTTTGATGTGAATAAAGTAAAACCTCTCAAAATAGGAGATTTGTTTGACATCAAGTAGCAAAGTGGTGAGCCTTTAAAGGACTGCATGGCTAGATAAGGAAATATTCATGGATGTGTTTGTAAGGACTCCGAGCAAGCCCATTCAGCAAATCA